GAAGTTGTATATTAAAAAAATAAAATCAATTAAATAAATAAAGCCTTGAAAACAAGGCTAATGATATTTCCCTTCAACCTAGAGACAGCTGTGTGGCCATATTAAGAACTCAGGACCAACCAGGAAACCAGTCTTCAGGGGCATCAGGCCTGCTGGTGACTTGGTGTTACTTTACAGACTCTGAARCTGTGAGAAACTGTGTAAGGTGCTCTGTAAGGMACCCGACTTTGGTATTGTTGCAGYAGCCTGAGCTGAGACACTGTGTTCTCTTCACCTGCTCCTGAGGCTGCATCTCCCCCATTTAGTCCTGCTCCATGTACTCCAATGTGCCTGTGCTCAGAGCCCAGTCAGTCTTTCCAGTTGTTCCAGAACAGATCTGCATGGGAATCCTGTGTAGGGACTCCCACTGCAAACCATCTTTGGATGATTTATGGAAGATCAAGATTGGAGAGGAYAGCTAGAGAGGAACTAAGGCAGAGGGTGTGGGGTGTACTCGGAGTACAGAAGGGGACAAATCACACCTTTAAGAACAGAACCTCTGGAACTTCATTGTAATATCTCTATTTTCTGAACACCTATCCACATTTGTACATTCTTTGGCCTCTAGTTCTAAATATATCTAAATCAGGCTGGGAATTGGAGGTCTGGGGGAAGGAGGGGGACTCCAATTGTCCCCATAGGCCATGCCTCCTATAGCAATCATTTTCCAGTTGGAAAACAAGTGGATCTTAGAGAATTGGAACTTATATGTGGGTGAATCATGAAAAAGATGCAAGAAAACTGAGAGGTTAAAAAAATTAAAATCTGGGCTGGGGTATTAGCTCAGTGGTAGAGCACTTGCCTAGCATATGTGAGACACTGGCTTTGATCCTTAGCACCACATAAAAATAAATGAATAAAATAAAGGTATTGTGTCCACCGACAACTAAAAAAAAATGTTAAAAAAACTCTGCCATGTGGGTAGTACAGGCCTGAAATTCTAAGTACTCAGGAGGCTGTGGTAGGGAGATCACAAGTTCCAGGTCAGGCTGTGCAATTTAGCAAGGCCCTGTCTCAAAAGATAACAAGGGYTTGGAATATAGCTCAGTAGGAGAGCATCCTGGGTTCAATCTCCAGTGCCAAAACAAAACAAAACAAATACTACACCTAKAAGACTACTTTTTCTAGATTCACCATGTGTCAGAAGGATTGAAGGATAAAAGGAAGACCCAGCCTCTGCCACACAGCAGCAATGCACTGGGTTAAGGCATGAGTTCCACTGCAGCTTTACTGTGACCTGTTCCAGTGTCTTTGGGCAATTGATTTTAAAACCCTGTGGCTTAGTATTATTGTTTGTTAAGTTATGAACATATGATCTATCATAAATAATCCATGCCCTAGTGTGTATCATTGCAAAATCATAATAAACATGTAGCTGATATACTAATAAAGTTGTTAATAATTATTTGTAATAAATGTGATGGTAATAATGAATTTATTTATCTTTATAGGATTGATATCAAACAGAGTATGCTGTACAGTAGGTGATCAGTAAATATATATTTGTAGGTTATATTGGTTATTATTGAATGAGTAAACAACCTTCAAATTCTTGCCATACAATAGTTCAGCTCTTTGCCCATTTTCCTACCTAGTAAAAAGTTTTAAAAGAAAGCTAATCAATTTCAAACAAAGAAAATTCTTGGAAAGATGAAATGTGGAACAAAGTGTTTTAATTCAGATAAGGATTTTTGGTGCTGAAGGAAGGTGGAGTAGATAGCAGGAGTGCATTATGAAGAGATAAAGGTGTTTAGTTGGCAGCAATTGTCTGCTGAATCCAATTCACGTATTTGCAGACCTTGGTGTAGACACCGGGTTTGCCCTTCAGAGCACAGCCATATCCCCAGGACACAACACCCTGGAGTTCACCATTGCAGACCACGGGGCCACCAGAGTCACCCTGGAGTAGAAGGAGAAGAAGAATTCTGGTTATATACACATGGGAGAATGGGCTCCCGGATAATCCTCCATAATATAGGGGCTATTTTCAGGGGCTGCTGAKCTCCCAGGAAGCACCTTCTCTCCCCATGAAGACTCCACCCTCACTCTTCTATCTATATCCCTATTCTTCTTCCTCCTTCTTTACTGCCTGCTCCTTGTCTTTCTTTGTGGATCCATTGCACCAAGAACATGTGGGCACTGGAAGTATAAACAAGTTTGACATACAGAGTGTTCCCTTTTCTAGCACCACAGAGTTTCAGATAGATTGAATCAAGCCAGAAGAAGCTGTAGGGCATGTATCAAAGAAGCCATAGGGCACTGGGAACACTGGCATCCCAGCAGCCTGCTCCTCTCACAGGGTCCACGGCAGATACACCTCCTCAGAAGAGTGCTGGAAAAGCAGCGAACACCTACTTTTGTGTATMCTTTTACTCTGAACACCAACCTTCATTATCACAAACAGAAAATGTATAACTTATCTCAAAGCTTTCTTCATATATCATGACCGATTTTGAGTGGACAATTTTACAATCCTCTGAGTTTCAGAGAAGGAGAAACATGGTGGAGAAGAGAGACTGATCTGGATGAAGCAGGAGCAKGAGAAACTCACCTGGCAGGAGTCCTTTCCCCCCTCCAGGAAGCCCAGGCAGAACATGTTGCTAGTGATCTGTCCTGGGTAGGCATTGCGGCAAGCAGTGTCAGAGAGCACAGGGGCATTCAGACACTGCAGGAGGGAAGGATACTTGGCTGTGGAATGCAAGAGTGAAAATGGAAGAAGATTACACACTGTAAATTTCTTTGCCACTGTCTCTTCTCATACTTTTCCCCCCCAATATTCCAAAGACTTGTAATTTGAGTGACTTTTTCTCTGGCATCAGAGGCCACAGACCTCAAGTGCAGAGCCTGTTTGCTCAAGCAGGTGTATACTTCAGGCAGCACAGAACCTATAGCCTCTGTTCCCATTATCTCCTCTATCTCTGGCTCTCTGAACATCACTAATCACACTTCAGATAAATGTCTTGACATTTTATAGTTGTTTTTATCTTGTCCATGTTCTCAGAAAAAGGAATCTTCCTTATTTTACCTAATACATTGTAAGGCTGCATGCATCCTATCCTCTTCAACCTTGCCTTGAGTCAAAATCCATACTATCTACTCCCAACATGTCTTTAACTCTTCTGTCCTCAACCCTGGTGCTGGTGCTCCAACACTTACTTCCACTGCTCACAGTGTTGCCCCAGCCAGACACGAGGCACTGAGTCCCAGCAGATGGACAGGATCTCGGCAGGGAGACAGCAGACACTCGAGAGTTGATGGTGGCGGGGGAGCTCAGTTTGATCAGCATGATGTCGTTATCCTGGGTGTTCTTATTATAGCTGGGGTGCTGGATGATCTTGGCTGCCTGAATGAACTGCTCATTCCCCTCGACGACGTCAATRTTGTGTTCTCCCAGACGCACCTGTATCCGGCTGGATTCAAGGATTCAAAGTGTCCAGCTTGAGCTTCTTCCTCTTATTCCAACCCCCAAATGATGACCATGAACACAAACAGCATTCTCATCAAGCATTTGACCCCACGGGTAATTGTGTACCKAAGGCAGCATTATATACCACCACACACGGTGCAGGTTAGAGAGGTCCCTAGGCCAGTGTCATCCCAACTAGCGCCTCACAGTCCCCCATCACTTTAGAACCGTGAGGGACAGGCAAGGGACGAATGGGTCCAAAGAAAGATGGTACTGAAAAGGGAATCCTCCTCTGTTTAGTATYTTCAAGTATCATAGGAAGATGAGGCAGGAGTCACAATAAGGCAGGATATAATGACAGCAGGATGTGCTTATTTTATGCTGTACTCCAAATGTGGTGCTTTCATCACCCCAGGTGCCATAGCTTCCTTGGGCTGTGAGGGTGAGGACCATGTGCTCATTCATCATGCTTCACCAGCCACTGTGTCCCCTCCACATCTTTACCATCATTTAGAAACACACCAGGAAACCCTAAGATACCACTCCATGTAAAAGTCCTTTAACACATTGTATAATTCTGAGTGAATAATCAGGCTCTCTGGGTCTGAATGCTTTGTCCATCAGGTATAACTAGTCAATCTATTTGTGCTTCCCTGGGCTAGAGGATAAACTGATATTAGGAATGYAATACAGGGCACTTACGACTTGTAGCAGTGAGCAGCAGAGACCACCCACTGGGAATTGATGAGGGAGCCACCACAGATGTGGTAGCCAACATTCAGTGACACCTGGTAGGGCAGGGAGTTCTTCTGACAGGTGTAGCCCCCAACAATCTTGTCATCGTCATCGTTAGTGGGAAAAGCAACTGACAAGGAAAAGTTAAACTTTTGCAAACCAACCAGAAAAGAGATGACAATGTTCTCCTATCTGTCATGATTAGTAAAGTGTATCATATGGGATTTTTTWAAAATTTATTTTTCATACTCTAACATACCCTTTTTACATTACTATTAAAAAACATCTAATAGCTGAGCATGGTGGTGCATACCTGTAACCTCAGCGACTCAGGAGGCTGAGGCTTGAGGATTGTGAATTCAAAGCCAGACTCAAAAAAGTGGGGTGCAAAGCAACTCAGTGAGACCCCGTCTCTAAGTAAAAATGCAAAATAAGGCTGAGGATGTGGCTCAGTGGTCGAGAGGCTCTGAGTTTAATGCCTCCCCAATTGCTAGGTTTCTATTTGTGATTTACTTGTGATAAATATGTTCTTACATGTGTGCCTTACACACACACACACACACACACACACACACACAGTCACACCCTCCAAACACTCACAAAGGTAAGAGGTTTTTAACACAATAAATGCCTGATCACTACTATTGAGGATATGAGAATTGTTTTTACACAGAACCCTGTTTTGTACTCATGCAAATAAGAAGAAAACATTGCTGTAATCTTGCTGGTGTGCATTCTTGGTGTTTAATGGAGTGTTTGTGATGCTTAGCTTTCTCTGTCAAGAAGCAGAAAGGAGGCTTTTAGGAGCCATCCTGAGATGAACCTGGCCTGGAAGGAAWTGTCTGCTTGTTTGTATCTTTACTCACTTATTTTCTGTCTTTAGTCTATCCATAAATCACTTTCAGGACACAGTGATATTCCCCTCCACTACTTCTCCACTATCCCATTTATCTTTACATTGTCTATCAACGTATTCAGCACAGACATGGCCCACTGATCTGTCAAGATTTCTCACAGCTTCAAAATTCTGTTGTTCTATCACAGGAGCCCTGTTTTCTCAATATTTGAAAATAAGTTTATGATAGAATGTCCCAGGCATATATACAGGTGTATTGGATTTATACCTGTTCTATTTGGGTAGAGTAATTGACTTTAATTAATATCAAAATAGTATTAMTACTATCAAAATAGAAGTAGTCATCTCTATTTTCTCTCAGTTTAATAACATTTGACTTTATACCTGAGATGACATTAGGAAAGCTATCATAAAATCAAATCAAAGGTTTTATTCTGAAATAATATACCTTTGCTGTTAGATGTTGGATATAAATAGCTCTTTAGTAAACAGCTGACYCAACCTCTGATGTTCACAGCCTTTTCAAGAAGCACGGATTAGTTTCAGATGTTAACTCCAAATTCTTAGAGGTCAAGACAAGCACTCCTTCCATGTAGACTCTCCTTTCCCTTTCTCTCCTCCTTCACAGAATTTTCCGGGAAGTTCAGGACAAGTTTGGCCTGCCTATGCCTTCTGCTCTRAACCCCTCATAACCTCAATGACCCTCCTCAGACAAGTATCTCATTATCCTAAACCCCATGTGCCTGACCCTCCTGTTTTGACATTTCACCCTTCCAGAGTACAGAGCCTGCATCCAACATTCATGGTTGTTTTCCTGAGCACAAGGCAATCACACAGAGAGGACCRACACCTGCTGATTGTTCCTTAAGAAGACTCACCAGCAGCTCCCAGGAGAGCAAGGAKAATGARGGTCTTCATGGCTGCTCACTGAGTCTGGACTGGGAATGGGATGGAGGCTTTCCACCCACAGGTATTTATACCTACAGTTTRTCATTGACACCCATGGCCACAGGAGCCAGGAAAGTGATTTCACTGGAAACGCACATATCTAAATTTAGATTCACTTCTGTGGCACATGAAAGGTGATTTAGCACCAAACTTAAACATCAAAAATTTTCCATTTTTCCCGAAGGTTATGGGAATGGAGGTCACAAACTCACCTGCTGGAGCCTGTTCCCCAYAACAGGTAAACATGTTAGAATAAGGTCACAGGGGAGAGCTTCAGGTTTCTGCATTCCCACAGAAAAATCTTAGGTCCTTGGTTGTCTCAAGTGTGAGCGTTTGTACTAAGGAATATCTGGAACCCTGCACCCAAGGTGTTTAATTAACATTGGCTCTTGCACACTTAGATAGTTGTCTTTTTTTTTTTTCCTGCCGAAGATTGAATGAGGTACTTGGGAATATTAGGCAAGCATTTAACATGGGGCTATGTCCTCAGTCCTTACTTAGTCTTATATTAGTTCTGATCTTGTATATTCATGGTAATTATTCATTTTGAGGATTTAATGTTTGTGTGGACTCTCTCTCGTCCAGTGAGGTGGTCCACGGAACAGGGTAGAGGAGAGTGTGGCTGTGGAGTCACTAATCAAGACCTCCGGGGACCAMGCTGGAAGCAGGTCTGATTTTACTGTGTAGTTACCATGTATATATACTCAGGCAGTAGCTAAGCAGAYTATAGGCAGYCACCAATACAATTTCTGGCCAACTGTCCTTGTAGCGACCAATCGAGTGGGCTCATGCTCAGGGTGCTGTGTCTATGGGGTAAGSGGCCTGTTGCTCACACACCTCGCAYGAGTGGAGTGGTTTGCCTCTCAGGCGCCCTTAACGTATGCCATGTATGCAGTACTCCATGCACCTGGCCCCACAAAWGTTATCCTGAGAATAGGAAAATTTTGATAAATTAAAAACGGTAGAAAAAATGAAAAACCTGAAACTTGCTGTAAGTCCAAGATACAGCGCTACCCCCCAAATGTGAAGATTGGTTTCAATCAGGGACCAAAAAACATTAAAAGGAAAATTCTAGAAATAAGAGTTCATAAATTTTTAAAAAATTTATTATATTATATTGCTGTATCTGTTTTATTTTATTAATAGATTTTAGTGTTAAACGTACACTATGCCTCATTCATAAATTAAGCTCTTAGATATAGGTATAGAAAAAATTATAAATAGGATTTGGTACTAAATTAAGCTCTATCTTAGATATATAGGAATAGAAAAATATAACCTATAGGATTTGGTACTATCTGCAGGTTTAGGCATCCCCTGAAGACTCGAAATGTTTTCCTCATGGATAAGGGGGAACTTTCTACAGGTATCTATTGTCAACCCCACTTATTCCCTCTGGTGGGAAAGGTAACAAAGGTATGGAGACTTAACCAACACCACACAGCAAGCACCTTTCAGGATCARCATTCCAACCCTGCAATGTGCTTTCAGACGCTCTCTTACCAAGGTGATGGGGAGCTCTTGGTAGACTAGGAAGGATGTGAAGTGCATGGAGAGTTTCCGATGTCTCAGGCATTGGGGACAAAGTGTCCATGCATTGACTCTTTCAGTCCTCATGATATCAAAATCTCTGTCCCTGTCCCCCAGGATAGGGCATTGAGAAAAAAGAAAAAGAACTTTTATTGCTTTGCTGGCCAAAGAGAAAGCCAAAAGTCTCATGGCACTGAGGCTGCATTCTTAGTGCCAGGGGCATGGAGGGCTTTAACAAGGGGAACGCAGGGCTGGCTTCCCAATTGTACCTGTAGACGGGATTRATATTCAACTTTTCCCATTTCCAGGTCTGGAGTTTCTTTGTTCAGGTGGGAAAAAAAAAAAAAAGGAAGGACAGATAACTTCACTTAACACAGGACAAACGTTCATCTCTTTTCCCCTGAAGTGAAGGAGAAAAGGAAAGAAAAGGAAAGAAAAAAATCAGTTTTAAAATAAGCTGCCATTGGTTGAGCAACAAGGTTTAGATTCAAACATAAAGTGGGCCCCTGTTACATGAAAGGGACCCCTGTGACACTCACAAATAATGCTATAAAGAGGTAACCACCTGAGGTTGGGGGTAACTGTTGTGCTATAATTTTCACCATTTAGGAGACTGTGGGGAGAGGCTTAGAGAAATCAAATGTTTTTGCAGAGTCTGATAGTTATTATGTCAATCCAGGCTTCAATGCCAGGAAACTCATTTCAGTATTCATGTTCTCAACTATGATGCCATAGACCTAATAAGGGCTACAATCTGAGCTCTATCAAATTGAGGGCTAAAGCAAATTCTGGAAAATCCATGGATAGGTYCTTGGAGCAGGAATTATAAGAAAMTTAATGACATGGCTCAAGTATCTAGAGTGAGTGAATTTCAAGAAGGAACTTCTCACTAGACACAACTGTCAGATTCCACGTCTCTACAATAAATCTGAAATCTCCAGCCAAGATATTATTTCTACTCAAGCAAATTAWCACTCTGGATGCTGTTTTGTTTTATTGTTTGGGTGAGATTTATTTTCATTCGAAATTGTGTAGCTTTGAAGACAACTTAGTCAAAGAAGGAGATTCTCAATTGGGATATTCTTGACGTTTGGGGTCAGACTCTATACATATTCAATCTATAGTAACCTTCATATAAAGCTTTGATAACTAATTAAGATTTCATCTGTGAATTTTATTATAAATGTATATGTATATGTWAAATCACCATGGATGATTGGTATAATATTAGAGGTCATATAATAGCAGCAGGTTATTTTTTGTGAAGGAATTTGTGCCTCAATGTGAAAAGACTAAATCACAGTTGCCTTGTTCTATAAAAGTTTGAACTTGTGAAAAAAAATGGAGAAACAAAGGAATCTTTGAAACTCTAAATCCCTACTGGGATCTGGAAATACCATAGTCTATGTAGGATTGAAAAAGATGGTGTGTGACTGGGATATTTGGAACAAATGAGTACCTCTAATACTGAAGGCTTTGGAATTTGTATCCTTTTAAGAGTTTGACTTTCTAAATTGAGTTTTAAAAGTAAGACTAAAATAATACTAACCCAATAAATATTTTTATTTTAAAATCCATTTAAAATACTAGTTACTCTGTGTGCACATCTGAAATTCCAGTGACTTGGGAGACTGATGCAGGAGGATTGAAMATTTAAGGTCTGCCTGAGCTACTTAGGGATACCCTGTCTCAAAATAAAAATTAAAAATGGCTGGAGATGTAGCTCAATGATGGAACAACTTGGGTTCAATTCCCAGGATTGCAATAACAATTTAAATTAAAAAAAAGAAATTTAAAAATGGGTTGGAAATGTAGAGCAGTGTTAGAAAACTTCTGGGTTCTATTCAAAGTACTGCAAAGAAAAAAAGTACTAGTGATTTGCCATAAAATATGCTCATATTTTCCATTTAAATAATGAGTTATGTAAGATTTCCAGGGGGAGAAAGGCTTGAGCTTGTMTTATTAAAGCAAATTTTCTTAGATAAACTGTTCTTGAGCACATATTGAGGTTACTGCTTGATTATGGGAGAACTAACAAGTAGATTATGGAGTGTACCCAGTTGAAATAAAGTAAGTTTTTCCCAGCTGATATACTCTAAAAGAAAAAAAATAAATGTATTTTCATAGGTAGCTAAGCTTCTAAGTAGAGATAGCACTTCATTTTAAAAAGTTGTAAATGTTATAACCATGAGTTCAACAGTTACGGTTTATCTTTCTCAAGTTTCCATTATCTGTACTATAATTAGACACAGCAAGTATAAAACCTTGTCCCTATGCTGTTACCCCCTACCTCAGATGGCTACCTCTTTACATGTCCTTATATCTGCCATAGAGATACCATGCTTCCCTGGATCTCATTCAATCWTGCATTAGAAATATAATTATAGCTACACGTATGAATGATCTCCTCTGACTCTTTAGAGTGACYATTTTAAACAGAAGTACATTTTGATAGGGCCTTGATAAATCTTTTTTGGTTTTACATTAGAAGGAGGTCCATGCTTTCCAAGCACCCGACCCTTTATCTAGTTTCTTTTTCTTTACAACTAACACATAGATCARCATTATATTCTATTTGTTCTTTGTCTATTTACCAATCAGAATATATTTGATTGGGCAGGGTTTGCAATATTTGTTTCACTACTACATCCTTRGTGCATAAAACAGACTCAGGAATACAACAAACCTTCAATAARGTACTTGACAAGTACTACTTATTGGATAAATTAGGAGAATGCTTACATTTTCTCCACTGAAGRTAATGTCATATATATTTAGTCAATCCTGTATCAATGGCTGTTTGGGTTGTTTCTGGGCTAGATGTAAAGMATTCATGAACATAGATGACTACTCTAATAGAAATTGTTTTGCATCTTGACATATGCTCCTTCTCTTGGCAACAGTTCTATCATCATTTAGTTAACCAAATTTAAAAAGCTGGTGCCTCAAGTCTGTGGGGGGACCTCATATTCAAGAAGCCATATATCAGAGATATTTTTAAAATATGGMATCTGTACTGAATAGGTACAGATTTATCTTTCTTATCATTATTCCTTATGCAATAAGGCATGAGAATTCAATCATGCATTAGAAATATATTTATGGCTACACGTATGGGCCATCATTAAGTTTAAATGAAAAACAACTGTTCACATATAGTGTTTCCATTACTTATTAGGTATGGAATTAGGGACCATAATTACTGCAGGTAGAATTTAAAGTTTATAGAAGAACATTCACGGGTTATATGCAAATACCTCCCCAGTTTATGCAAAGGACTTGAGTATATGCAGATTTTAGTGTCCATGGGGAGTCCTTGAAGTAACTCCTCATGGCTACCAAGGGAAGAGAGAATGTCATCCTTTTTGCACAATGAGAACTCTACCCCTTACTCTGGGACTCTGTCATATAGCTTAATTATAAAGTAATCAGCATAATTT